GAAGCCAGGTCGAGGGGAGACGACCGACTGGAAGAAAGAGGCAGGTCGAGGGGAGACGACCGACTGGAAGAAAGAGTCAGGTCGAGGGGAGACGACCGACGAGTAGAGAAGCCAGGTCGGAGATAATTTAACTGACCGCAAAGCCAGGTCGAGGAGACGACCGACCGGAAGAAAGAGTCAGGTCGAGGAGAAGATTGATCAAGGGTAGCAGGTTGGTCGAGGAGATATAATCGATGGGAAAGAAGAGTCAGGTCGAGGAAGACGACCGACCGTAGAGCAGCCGGTCGAGGGACAGAAGACCAGAGTCGTCGAGGAGACGACCGACTGGAAGAAAGAGTCAGGTCGAGGAGACGACCGATTGGAAGAGAGGTTTCGCGTCGAGGGAGACGATCGACCGGAAGAAAGATCAGTCGAGGGAGACGAACGACCTGGAAAAAGAGCCGTCGAGGAAGATGACCGCATCGAGTAGAGGAAGCTTCAGGTCGAGGGGACGACCGACTGGAAAAGAGAGTCGAGGTCGAGGAATTAACATCAGCGTAGAGATTTCAGGTCGAGGAGATCACGACGTGCTGAAGAAAGAGTCAGTCGAGGAGACGATCGACTGGAAGAAAGAGCCAGGTCGAGGAGATGACCGATTGGAGAGAGGAGCGTCGGGAGACGACCGACTGGAAAGAGTCAGGTCGAGGGGACGACCGACGAGTAGAAGCCGGGTCGAGGGAGACGCCCGACAAGCAGAGAGAGCCAGCGAGGGAGACGACTGGGTTGCAGCGGTTGATGACCAGACACCACGAAGAGATCCTCAAACAGCGAGTGTAACCTGGCGGCTGCACAATCAAGGAGCCAAAGATCAAATATTAGTCAGAAAGACTGTTTTAAGGTCGTTCCGCCCCCCTTTCAGTGATAGCCAAAGTATGAGTCTCGTTATTTTCGCGGCAAAAATGTACGTACTGTTTGATCGAGTCATCTAGTACCGCTGCAGGCAACTATCTACGCCCTCATAGAGCAAGATTTGTACCTCTCAGGATCCAGGACGCTGTGAATGGAGGCAAGGGGGCGTATCGTCACAGCCAATAGGGACTTTCAATGAGCTCCAGGACGAAGAGGACAAAAAGCCACAGACCTCTGCGATAGAAAACAAGGAGTCGCCTTATAAGACAGGGGACGCACATTGTCTGGACGGATGGTGAGCGGGTCGAAGTTGCGAGGCATAGGGTTTGGCCACCGGATAAACAAAAGAATAACTACCATCGATATCCGAGGAGGCCAAGAAGCCGAGTTGCGACACTCCGTCGGATTCTGTGGGCTTTCTCCGTTTCTGGGTCTCATCCAGTCCTCCTTTTCGCCTGTAGTTCATGCTCCTTGTAGTCGCTCCCAGGTCCGGCCTGTTAATCGCATGAAATTAGTTGTGCCATTGCATTAGGAATTTGCTACTGCTTTCCTCAGCCTCCTCCGTCTTTCGGTGTGTTGACTGAGGCTCCTCATGCCCTTGAAGACACCGGGATCCGATCCGGCAGAAATCTAATAAGGCGATGGACCTGAAACCAAACTTGCACGTTGTAAATCTTCTCCTCGAGCACAATGCCTAAATATCAAGAGGCCAGTCGATTGAAGGCAGCGTCACAATATACAACGACAGCTAAGCAACACCCTTCCGAGATGTTTCCTCCCCATACTCAACTTCAATCCAAGAAACGTCAGTAACGCCAACTGGTAGACCCTTCCATCGCCCCTGCCTAATTCATAAGTCCTTCTGCACCCGAAGGGGTCCACGAGAATTGATCCGATGGACGAACTTGCAAGCCCATGGAGCGAGCTCGTTGCGATGCAAGGTCCCATGTTTGGGAATCTTGAACGCCTATACCGCGCATATCGTCCTCGTTTGCCACTCCATGAGGACACCTTCCAAAAATTCGAATCTTCCTTTTGCAAAACAACATCTCCGACGACCCGGTCAAGGTGAAGGCCAAAAAATGGTCCAGGAGCTTTGGGACCGCAACGAGCGGCAGGATTACGGATGCACTCTCGGCCTTGCGGCATCCGGGTCAAGAATGGGAAGCTGAACGAGGACGACGCCGACTCGTGGCACATTGTCCATCTTCTATTTCGCAAGTCACACCGGGTGTCAGCCATTCCCCACATCTGGCGCGATGCGTTGGTGCTTCTCAAGATAACGCAGCTTCCGAGCCATGACATGGAAGAACCTTTGATCAGTCTCGAGCGTTTGCAAGATCATCAGTGGTCTCCCGTGGTTGGTAACCCGGGTCGAGAGCCCATTGCCTTTGAAGTCGTCGCGCACCTATTAGCCGCAAGCGGTAAGTCGCACAAGTGGCTGAAGAGGAAGTTGGTGTGGATGGGAACGTGCTATGAAGAGCACGGAAGTTGAGAGCGAGAGCTTTGTCTGTAGACAGCGTCCCGAGTAACATGCCTTTCTTTTCACTATGACACTTGATGGAAATTATTCACCGTGCAAATATGATGCATAATGAAATTAATTCGATCGTAAGAAGTGATACCAAACCGTTACACACTGTCCAGATGTCAGGAGCGACAGGAGATGAACAATAGTTCTAATAAACAGTGGGATCAACATTTTGCGCATAGACAGAGATCGTACCTCTAGGAGTAACTCCTGTCTTTGTTTGGCAACTGCAAACTCAACTGATTGGAATGCATGGCATTGAGATGATGATAGAATGGGTGGACTCTACCTTATCGAAGTTAGCTACAAGGTCTGGCAATCTTGTTCTGACGTTCTGCACGTTTCTGAAGTGGTTGCGTCTGGTTTCGTGGTCCAGGTAGCCGATGTTCTTAGAATCCAAGATACGTTTATCAAAGAGGAGGGTATTGCTGCGCTGATCGGGTGCCAGAGGAATGAGTGCAGAGCGACAAGTGTTGGTAGGAAAGGGAACCTGACGGCAGAGCCAAAGTAGTGGTATACAGCCCGCCTCATGTCAGTTTAGGCCCTTGGAGATTGGAACACGGCTGAAGGATACATTACAATGAAAGCGGGGAAGACTTGAGGTCGAGCCAAAGGTTGGTCTTGGAAGCAATGTATGAATAGGATAGAACGTTGAGTTTGTGATAAACTCCACGATTCGAGGAATTGAGATGAGTTCCAAGGGGTAGATGGGTTTGAGGTCGAGAGTGTTCACTGCAAGAACCGAGCGAATCTGTACAGGCGTCGTCGTAATTGGGGAGCATTGGCCTCTATTCGACAACAGGGTAGGACTTACGAGGTATATGCCTCCCAATTGACGTCAAGTTCTGAGAAAACAATCAATTTGAGTCTCGCTGAGCATGATTCACACACCATGAACGTGCGCGGCGTCTAATCTCAATTATTTGATGCCCTATATCTCCTCTCTTCAATTATAGGCGCCGCTGACCAGTCTAGCGTTCCATGATGGGCGTGTTTGCTTCAGAAGAAGGTTGGGAATGGACTACAAGGCTAATACAGTGACTATTGAGAGGACATTTAGGCTTGAAACGATTGAGGATGAGCACCTACATGACTATCTGCGCGGGCGGGCAGACAAAACCTCGCCCATCCAGTGTATAGTCACCGGGAGGTCGACTATGTGGCCGTGAAAGGCCAAGCATAGTATCTATTAACCATAAACCTCTTAATCAGGCCGAATACTTGCAGAATCGGACCAGCAACATTAGTTCGCTGTTATTGGTGCACTACCGGGCTATTCGTCTTCTGTTCTCCTCAAACGGTATTCGTGAGCTCATTTAACCTCGTATTGATCCTTCGTACCAAAGGCCATCGGTTCTACCACGTCCAATCAATCGCGTAAGCAGTGCGTTTGTGCTCGAGTTCAGAGCACATGTCTTGAGGCATTTTTAAAGCTTCTTCCCGCATTCGTGTACCATATTTTGCAGTAAAGGCAGAGCTACTGCCAAGCAGCTGCACGGCGCTCATAGTGGCGGGAGCCAAGTTATCGAATCACAGCATCCGTTTGTGTGACGCTTTGGGCGCACTTGCTAGTTGTGGAAACGCTACAGACACCAGAAAGACACATATATAGAGCACTATATTCACAATTCCTCATTTTCTTAGAGCTACGACAATTTGCCGCTCACAAGGTCTCTCTTGAACGGGTCTCATTAGGTGCCTTACAAGGCAATTGCCTTGCAAAGCACTTTCTAGTTTTCCGACAGGAGTCCACCTCTGCCTCAAAGACCGCATGACTATTGACGAGCTGTAGTGCGACACCACTGACTCGGCAGCAGGCCTCGATAATATTGCTATCCGGGTTATTCGGGGGCAGAGGTATAAGCCCTGTTGAACCAAATAGTATATAAATACATGGGTGACTTGTCTCTTCATATTTGTGATTTAGTTCAAATAACCCGAGTCGCGCTCTCAAGGCCGCTCCACAGTTTGGCTTCTTAAGTCTAATGACGTCGGTGTGCCACTAGTCTATCGATGGTCATCCTTTGTACGACGTTTACGAGCTGAACAGGGGAGATAGTGAGCGTGAGCTGCATAACGGCATAAGGAAAAGTCTAGAAAGACTCTGAGTGGTAAATGTAAGATACATAGGATAACTCGCCTTGTACAAGGCGGCTGAGAAAGACTTGAACCCACAGAAGCGACAAAGTATCCTGACAAAGGGCAACTCGAGAGTTCTATAGGACGCGGCGTATAGCCGCCATGCGACAAGTAAGGTAATTAGAATCAGAGAAGTCCAATTGGTATCCTCGGCAAGAAACGCAATGCCGTCCGAGCCTACAAAGCATCCGTGGAGCGACTATTGCCTTGTTCGGGAAATAGGACGGAATATACATTGGAGAAGAGATCAGGGACTGGCTAGGAAGAGTTGCAAGAAGAGAAGTCAACGTCATCGTAGTCAGTCAGAAGCCGGTTCAACTCAGTGGAGTCGTTAGCGTTAAGCTCCATAGATACCATTACCTAAAAACAGCGTACGGATAAGCCTCTATATTAGGTATTCTGACAATATGCAGGAAGTCAACGACATTGGCGGATGGCAGAGTCAATATTTGTCTAAGAGAATCACCCGCCCGCCGTGACCGTAAACCCAGACAAAGACAGGCTTGAGCTTTCTCGAGTCCGACGGTGAGGTCCAAACGTTGATTGTAAGACAGTCTTCACCGGCAGGAGAAGGGTCTGGCGGGTTGGCTCCGAGCTGAATACATGAGAGCCCAAACGCAGTCGCATTACGGGTGACAGAGGGCGTCAAAAGTGGCTTTGGAGCCAGAAAACGAAGAGGTCCAACGGGAGGTTGAGCGAATGGGATGCCCAAGTATGCGTTTGTCGCATTCGAGACGGCTTTACCTCGTATTTTGCCTGAAGTGGTCTGGATAATGGGCACTGCCGCTTGGACGAAGCCAGCTAACGCGAGTGCAAGCCACAGCGTGAGGATTTGCAGAGAGTTAGGGGCCATTGTTGCGCGAGGACGACCCGAAACATTGTGCTTAGTAGTCTTATAGGCTGCCCTGGATGTTGATTGCGGCTTCTTTATCGTCACAAGAGCAGTGTTACATAGGGCCAACTATGGGGCCTTTGAACGGATCAATGCGGCTTCTGATCTTCCGTTACTGGGCGCCGTTCATTCTCGACTATTGATATTGTAACAGTCGAGGGTGAACCATCTCGAGGTGTTGATCATCTGATCGAGGTTTTCAGGTGGAGGTCGTCAATTCTCAAGATTCAGACTATGACAGGGCTCACCACTCCAACATGGGGTCCGTGCAATCAACCCGGAAATCAAGACTTGCCCTCTTCAGCAAAGTGATGTCGACTGCGAGCGGTGCAATTCGAATCTGCATACTCACAGTTGTGCGATCTATCCAACGCATACAACGTGAGAGGTACAACCTCTTGGCAAGCCGTGGATGCTGCAACTCTGTGCTCAGGTCCCATTTTCACAGCGTCCGCAATCCATGTGTACAAGTCGCCTGATCATCCACAGAATGCGGAATCCGAGCACCAGTCCTCGACGTCACCCCTTACTCCTTGTGTGACCTCACGACGCAATGGCTTCGTCTTCACGACCGTTCTAAACGACATTGAAATTTTGTGGAACCGGATATTGCGAGACCGAAGCCACGCCAAGAGCTGGCTATTGACTTTAGGCGCACAATAGACCAAGTGCACGTTTGAAATCATTGACCACGAGAAGACGATACAGCCAGGTTTCAGGTTAAACGACAGACTAAAGGCCGAGACCCAATCCCGCACATCTAGAATCAAAAGAGGCCGGGTCTTCCAGTTGGATCGGGATTCTGTAAATCAGTGCTGTTGTTGAATATGTCGACGAGAGTGCTACTTCCAGGCCCATTGTACTTCTTCCAACCAAGCGACAGAAGGCCATCACTGGGGTTCACGACAAAGGCGCTCCATGCCTTTTGCAAGTATTCCGTGGCTGCCGAAGCAAGGCCAGGAAAGGCATTGAATAGGACAATTTGATCGGATGCGTGCCAGGAGCGAAGAGGTGGCGGAGATAGCGCACGGAAAATGGCCATGTATCTATATCGATACACGGACACCAATGAAGAAGAATACCTAGATTCCCATTAGCGTGATGGCTTCAAGTCTCTGATTACGCACTTGGACTGCTGGCTGTCGTAGCACCTGAAGACGGACAGAGTCAACAGATCCGAAAGAGTCTCGTTCAGCGTGTTTGTTGTCCGGTCTACAACGAGAATGTCGCCTTCATTGTCAGTTGTCCCAGTTAACAACGGCTGAACAAAGTGTCAATGACAAGAGTAGACGGTGGTCGCTGGCTCACAATTTTCGCAAACTTTCCTGCGCGACCTCTGGATTTGTACTCGGATTTGGAGAAGAGTGGTATTGTCGACAAACGGAGCAATTCCGAGTGTTCGTAGAGTTGAGCGCGTCCGTCAGTTGGGCAGCGCTTTTGTACGAACGCAGTCGAGCTGTGCTTTATAGTCTTTTCTTGAAGAGAGCACCCAACAGCGCTCGCAATATTGGGGAACGGATTGGGTCCTGCGGCTGGGAGACCAACAATTGGGATTGGAGGAGGGTCAGCGCCATGGATGCCTGTCCGCTCATAAGAATGGCACCGCGAATAGGTGGTCGGGATTCGTAAGCGTGAGATACGCAGCGATACTCCCCGCACCCGAAGACTGTCCTCCAAGCGTAATCTGAGCCGGGTTTCCACCAAACGCTGCAATATTAGCGACGACCCATTGACAGCGGTCCGTTGATCTCGGAGCCCAGCATTCGTATCCTTGTTTGGAATGGCTGGAGAGTTGGCATAGCCAAAGACGTTGAGGCGATAGTTGAAGGACACGAAGACAACCTCTGGATGGCTGGTCGACCACGAGGTAAGATCATTAACTACGGTGTATCAGCTATACGACACCTAGGTCGTAGAGAACGTACGCGCAGATCCAGACTGTCCCGAGTTCCAACCGCCACCATAGATCCAGATGAGGACGGGCTTTAGCCTCGGAGAGAGAGACGGTGAAGTCCAGACATTGATCGTGAGACAGTCCTCACCAGAAGGAGATGGATCCGGTGGATTCGCTCCTAGCTGGATACAGGAGAGGCCAAATGAGGTGGCATTTCGCGTGGAGGATGGAGTCAAGAGAGATCGTGGCGCTAGAAAACGAAGTGGCCCAACGGGAGGTTGAGCATAGGGAATGCCCAAATAGGCGTTGGTCGTATTCGAGACGGCCTTTCCTTTCACTTTGCCCGACGTTGTTTGAACGACTGGAACTGCCTTGACGAGGCTAGCAATAGCGAACGGAAGCCACAACACGAGTATCTGGAGAGTTTTGGGGGTCATCTTTCAGTGGTCAGACTCTACAAACTCTTCGCTCGTCGTTTATACGTCGTCCTATATGGTCGTCGCAATCCACCTTCAAACCAACTCTCCGGCGCGCGCTGTGTCAGGTTCCACTTCTGGCGTCGGTGACTCGGCGATGTATTCAAGTGGAAGACGTCGACTACTGAAGCCGAGGATGCCGTATCGACATTCGAGCATGTCTGACCTGCAGGCTTGTACAATGAGTTTGAATTGAAAGAATGGAGTATATATACACTGAAAGAATGAGTAAACTCGACCAGGGGAAACTGCCATCAACTGCGGGCCTCAAGCAAAGAGGCGCTTCGTATAGCTGTGCAAGCCGTGAACGCCTCCTTCGACCTGAGCACTCGCAGTCCGCAGCTCGAAACGCACAACCCCTGCACGTACAGCCTCTTGGAGAGCTGCGATCGACTGTTGACCGGCGTCCTGAAGTGAATGTTGTAGTCCTGTGCAAGTACCTTTTTTCCACAAACGTTAGTAAGCCAGTTTCGACTGAGACTCTGGATGTTTGAGATTACCTACGGGAGGAATTTGTGAATCGAGCCTTGTCCTGAACGTCTCCGCTGACACCTTGCGACTTTGACCGCAGACGTCTCGGAGAAGTATCGAGCCGTCGCTGCATTTCCAGTCTCCTTTGCGCCGTTGACTTTTGGGCCACCCTTTCTTGTCTCACCGGTTGGGGACCAGGTGCCTTTGCACCGACGCTGCGCTGCTCCATAGCCTCGATGCTCCCATTCCACGATACGCCTTGACTCGTTTGCCCTCGTGGTAAAGTACTCTCAGGAGCCCTCCTCTGTACCGGCTAAGAGACCACCATCATGACAGCACTCGCACCCATTGCGAGTGCCTTGACGATATGACCAACATTGGATATGCCTCCATCCGCAATGACTGGTACGCCAAACTTGGATGCGAATTCGGCGACTTGGTAGACGGCTGTAGCTTGCGGACGACCGACAGCCATGACCTCTTGGGTGATACAAATCGACCCACTACCCATACCGACACGAAGGGTCGGCTCCTGCATGAATAAGCTTGGCAGCCTGTTCACGCGTAACAACGTTTCCGGCTACAACCTCGAGATCTGGCCATTTTTGTTTGATCCATTGGATCATTTCAATCTGATAGATCGAGTTACCCTGACTCGAATCTAGGATGACAATGTCAAGCCCTGCTTCCACGAGCAAGGCCAGACGATCGCGGTCGGCTAGGCGCGTTCCGATTGCAGCCGCAGCGTAGAGCTGCTTTGAGTCGGGACGCTTCGAGGAGAGGGGAAAGTTTTGGTTTTTGAGCAAGTCGGAACGGGCGAGAAGGGAGACGAGGCGTCCAGACGCATCGACGATGGGAAGTTTTCCCTTTTTGCAATCTCTGAGTACGTTATTAGCCTCGAGGAGCGTGACTCCAGAGGGAGCAGTGACGAGGTCGGTGGTCATGATCGTTTTGAGTGGCGGACGGGTCGTGGAACTGGATATCGCGAGAGTGACGATACCGAGTAGCTGACCACCCTAGGATCCTGCTATTCCCAAGGCGTTAGCATCAGCACGGACAGACACGAAGGATCAGGGACCAAAAAAAAATCTCCGCACATCACATCCGAAAGGACGTTGGTCGGAAGAACGAAGGTATGGTATAGAGTTTCTCATCACAGGCGGAATAACAGAAACAAGACGTACAGGTGATGGGGATACCGCAAAAGCCAAGTCGAGCTTTAATATCCAAGACATCGGCGACCGTGTCATCTGGACCGAGAACGACAGGATCCGAGATGAATCCATTTTCGTGACGCTTTACGGCGCGTACCATGGCTGCCTGTTCCTCGGCAGGCTGGTTGTGGATTACACCGATGCCGCCTAGAAGCTAACGTGGAGAGTTTACTAAGCAAAAGTAGAAGTAATCAAACGTGGTTTACACACCGCCATGTTGATTGCCATTGCTTTTTCCGTGACAGTGTCCATGGGGCTACTCATAAACGGCGTTTTCAAGACGACCGACGCGTAATTCGGCCTCTGTGGAGACGACACTGGCTGGGAAGTCGATGTGACCAGGAAGAGCAGGAAATCGTTAGGTGAGCCCGCCGTGTTTGATCGAGCTCATCAACTGGGCAGCCGAAAGTCCATCACGGTCTTCATACGTCGAAAGATGCTCAAGAGCAGTTTTAGGGTCAAGAAACTGAGACATGGCTGCGGACGAAACGAAGAGCAAAAGACAAGGACGGGTCAAAGAGGGCTGACAGGGTCGGACCACGAGATCGAATTTTGTGGGTGGGTTCGATGGAAAACTTCGAAAAGACAAGATCCGACGAGATTTTATGTGTAATAGAAGTGTAATTGGATAATTAGCATGCTCAAATTGTACATTATGCTTTCGACCTTTAAACCTAGGTGCGTTTGTTCGCCTCCTTTTCGACCTTTGATGCTGTATCCCGAACACCTGCAGCACTCTTCTCTTTGGCATCCTCGGCCTTGCCCGAGCCCCATGACCACCACGAAGATCCAGTGGCTTTTGCAGACTCGACGGTTTGTTCTGTTGCAGCCTAGATGCGCTTAGTATCATCGTGTACTAAGTATAGATGGGCCTACCTTTGTCTTGTCAACCGCCTCCTCTGCCTTGTTGCGTGCCTGCTCGTAGCCACGCTGGAGAGCGTTCTGAGCATCATGTCCATGCTTTTCAGCCTCATATTTCGCCTTGTCAAGCTTGGCCTCGCCCTCTTTCTGTGTCATTGATTAGCCCTCACGTCTTCATGGTCGAGCAGACTGTCGGACGTACCTTTGTGCTCTGGAGGGATGCCTCACCTTCCTTCTTCCATTTCTCACCCTTTGCTTCGGCAGAATGCTGGAGTTCTTTTGCTTTGGCCTTGAGCTCGTCGTCTTTGCCGGTGCTACTGAGATAGTACCATCCACCGCCTGCTACAGCGATTGCAGCGACGATACTAGCGGGACTGTACTGTTGCCCGTCTTTGGTGGATTGCTGGCGGGCTTGGTCATTGTCGGTTGAGGACCGGGGTGGCATAGAATCGGCGAGGAGCCGTCGTGCGAAGAGTGCGTGCTGTTGAACGGAGCATTGACGTGGTGAATTTGAGAGTTGGGAGTAGACTTGGTTGAAAAGACTCGACGCTGGCGAGGGTTTAAGTTGTGTCCTTGAAAGTGACGTCAATCTGCAGAGACGAGCGTCATCATCCCGCCACTTGAAATCGCCGGTAATGTCACAAGAGCACCGTGGAGAATAAGATTTAGCAAGCGCGACGCAAAAAGTGGGAAATAATCGTGTTCTACGCTATGGCTTGATCGGTACAGTCTTCTTACGGATCGGCGGTCCCCACCTAGAGCACCGTTAGCATTCTGACAGTGAATAAAATACAATTACAAACCCTCTCTGCGTCTTCTTTGGCTGTGGCTCTCGCGCATACACCTTTGGATCTTCGCCTTGTCGAAACTTTTCGAGACACCACAGGAGATACCTGTCGAGGTTGAGCTATATCAAAGCCATTTAAACTGTCTCCTACCTTCTTTCCTGGACGGTGAGACCCATCTTGTCCAGCTTTTGGCCGTTGAGTCGGAATAATTCTTCCCAGCTGAGCGTATCGACGTCGGGGAGTTTTGTTTCGCACTTTCTCCCAAATGCTACAAGCAAGCTCTTTGTGTCGTATCCTCCTGTTTGCAGTTGATCAGCGTGTCATTGCATGGCTGTAACTTGACCTACGCTTGTCCAATGGTACCCGCGTCGCCTCTTCCGACTTTTTCTGCTGTCGAATCATTTCAGGTGTCATTTGAAAAGGAGAAGGCGTGTTGGGAACAGCCGCAGCTGGCTCAAACCCGCCAGTGCTTCCTTGTTTGGTCGAGTCCGCCGCGTATAGACGTCCTGGAGCGCGTAAAACGCCTCGTATGACGAGTCTACGCGCGTGGAATTGGGCCACAAATGACATGGCCAGAAACGTCAAGGTGTCGTGGTGTTCAAACTTGGAGGAGCAACTGACGGGCATGTCGACGGCCCGAACCAGGGAAATAGACGACCTTTGACATGTCTTTGATATATTCCTTTGGAAGAATAGTGGGCGGAACATCCACCAGGCTTGACGCCGACCACATCTTTCATCCGAGTCAGACCGCACTGATCATCACACACGATGCCTCCAAAGAAACAAAATGCACCGTCTTCATCAAAGGCTCCCGTCGACAAGGTCAGATATGACAACCAGAACCCAACTGCAGGCGCATACTGACCAATTGGATACTCTATCATCAATACGATGCACTATATAGACGTTTGGGATGAAGAATGTGTGCGAGCATACTTTAGACGACTCGCCGTGTTCACTAATCGGTCCGGATCGTGCGCTACAAATCCAGAAAAACAAGTCGGCCAAAGTGCAAAAGTATGTACAGCAAGTACAGAACGAACAAGCTCGAGCTGGCAAGACACCGGCTGCTCTGGCCAAGGAGAAAGAGAAAGAATTACGGGCCAAGGAAAAGGCGGCGGAGGAGAAGCGAAAGAAGGAGGAAGCAGAGCTGTTCAAGCCAGTTCAGGCGGTACAAAAGGTACCGTTTGGTGTTGGTGCGTGTCACGATTCTTCGTTTGCGGCATCTCAGCAGGGCTGTAGATCCCAAGACTGTCCTGTGTGCCTACTTTAAAGCCGGTACTTGTGACAAGGGGAACAAGTGCAAGTTTAGTCACGACCTAAACGTCGGGAGAAAGGTCGAGAAGAAGGATCTATACAGCGATGCGCGAGAGGATAAGGAGAACGGTTTGTAGAATCTCTCTATGCGGAAGTTGGCTTACATAAAGTAGATACGATGGATAACTGGGACGAGGAAAAGCTACGAAAGGTCGTGCTTTCAAAAGCTGGGAATCCACGGACGACGACCGATATCGTCTGCAAATACTTTATCGAGGCGATTGAGACGAAAAAGTTTGGTTGGTTCTGGGAGTGTCCGAATGGTACGCAAGATCGTTTCGTCTCCCATCATACACTCACATCTTTATAGGTCAGGACTGCATGTATCGACACGCGCTTCCGCCAGGCTTTGTACTCAAGTCGGAGAAAAAGGCGCTCGACGATGCGGCCAAGGCGAACACAATCTCTCTCGAAGAGTTTCTGGAAGTCGAGGTGGGCGATACCACTTCAATAGCTCATAGTCTTACATCCACTAGCGGCACAAATTGGGACCGAATCTCACACCCGTGACCCCCGAAACGTTTGCCCAGTGGAAAAAAACTCGACTAGACAAGAAGGCTGCAGAGCAAGAAGCGTTGAAAAAGGCAAAGGAGACACAAAATGCTGCTGGTCGCGTAAATGGCATGAGTGGACGAGACCTGTTCGACTACCGACCCGAGTGGTTTGAAGAGGAGGATGACGAAGGAGATGCAGAAGATGCAGAAGGTGGTGGATGGGATATTGAGAGGATGCGAAAGGAGACCGAGGCAGAGGCAGAACGAGAAGAGGAACTGCGGATGGAAGAAATGCGAAAGGAGTTTGAAACAACGTCTGTATAATAGATCATCCTCTCTCCGGGCTTGGGTTGTCGCCGTTGAGCGCAGGGTACCAGGATCTATTGCAGGTTGAACTCGACACCGTCCGCGTTTCCTGCCAGAGGCCATCGACCGATTGAACAAATACTGAGGAAACTCAATTTTACGCGTTCAACTCTGTTCAACCACGTATCATGTCTTACGGGCCTCTTGTTGGTCCGAGGACATTCGACAACTTGGAGGGTATTCTCTGCGAACGCAACAGTGGTTACATCCAGAACTATCTTTCTCTATGGGAGGCGAAGTTCCAGTCCCAGGTCCTCCTGTGGAGGAACAGCGCGTCATCGTGAACATGTTCATGCAGGACGACGAGTCGCAGGTACACATTGCTTCTTTCGTATGATCCTATCCTTCATCATGACGAACCATGGACCTGTTCAGTAGAGCCTGACTTATTACAGGAAGAGCAATCCTAGCCCCGGAGGTGGTTCGCTCTAGCGTTTGTAGAGATACCCCATTCAGAGGATTCGGATGAAACAGAGCAGGATTACTCTGCTTCACGTACGACACAGATGCTAGGATGACCGGGCGACTATAAGCTACTGCTCAACTTCTTTCATCACCTATACAACGACTTGAACGACATCAGCGAGAAGGCTCTGCGACTCGTCAACAATGCCCGAAAGAAACGGAATCTCTCCTATTCGTTGGAGTACCCACGAGCGCACCGGCAAGGCGTACCGCTCGAGCGGACAGCGAGCCTAAAACAACGGGAATTGCGCAGGGAATTCTCGACCTCGCCCGAGAGCAATGAGACTTTAGAGGTAAACAAAGGCTCAAGTGACCCTTGCGACGCCACGAATCCGCCAGCGGGAAATGAGGATCACATTGATACAGCTGCCACTATGGAGCCACCCAATGTACTCTTTGAGTGCCCAATTGCCTGCTTTGGAGGATCCAATGCAGTGCAGCACCGGACAGTCCCGGATGAGGTGTGCAGACAGTTACCTAAAGAATCCGGTCTTTGCGTATGTGAAGACAAACATAACCGCGACTAGGCCATAGAATATGGATAAGACGACTGTCAAATGACGGGTGTTAGCCATCGAGTCTATGTACGAGTAGATATAATGTACGACCCTCCAGGCGGGAAGCCAATGAGAGCATCCGCCCGTCCCTTCCAGCAGCGCAAGAGGATGACGCCCCAGAATACATAGCTACTCCAAGCGAAAAATGATAATACGACTGCTACAGTAAACTTGACATCGTCAGGAGTGAGCAATCGCAGCGAGCCTCGACGGGAAATAGTAAGGAGTGTGTACAAGGAGCGCCAGGCGGGGTTAAATGGTCGTTCTGGGCTCTTAGCACAATGGGTTTATGGTTACAAATGTAGTATACGTTGACATTCGTGTATGGGAACTGGCAGAACAAGGGTGAAACCGTGCACTCGTCCCCCTGCTTCGATATTCAATGATGTAGAGTAAATAGATGCAAGTATTCTGTCCATTTTCTGTGATATGCCCCACCAGGAGACAGTCGGCGTCTGATAATTCAACCCGAGAGTGACAGACGCCATTCTTGGAACCATCCGCGTTGGCAATGTCACCTCAAAAGTCGACCAAACTAAATCAGGGACCCCCAGCTTCGGAACAGAGACTGCCAAGCAAGAGAGATCAAGTGCAAACCATGGCCAGCACAGTACTGGATGTGGTAGGAAACGTGGCCAAGGCGTCGGATATGCTCGCTCCTCTCAAGGCAGTTTGTCGAACAACAAATTCAGTCATCGACATCAAGCATGCAAGTAGATACACCCCGAATACCACTGGCTGATCAACTAACAGACCATCGATGACAATCAAGGGGACTGGAACGACCTAGTACGCCGCCTGGAGCAATATATGGGCTGTCGAGAGCCAAATCGATTCTCTCGAAAAGTATCCTCCTGAGGATAGGGCTGTCGACGAGGCGTTCAGCCAGCCCCTCATTCATTATGTCGAGTAAGCCGGCACATCAACTCTGGCTCAGTCGACTGATTGATGCAGACTTCTCGAGGATATTCATTGCGCCATTGTCAATGATGCGCATAACCGACGCCGCACCAGCCGCAATGCTTTTACAGCCATCGGAGATGTGAGGATCGACGCTGGGATGATTGTTAAATTCAATCAAGAAATCGAGGACCGACATAGGCAATTCATGGTGAGGGCTTCCGGTCATATAGTCAAAATCTGACCTGCGAAATAGGCCGCTTTGGATCTGTTCATTGGACACCGCGTTCAGGTCATCGAACGGAATACCAAGGCCACCAAGTCGGACGGTAAGCAAGGACTCGCTCAATAAGAGGCTCGCAAATGTCCAAGTCGATGCATCTTTCATATTCCAACTCCCCATGGTGGCATTCGTCCCATCCTCGGTACACACCACCTGTCTACAAGGCACACGTCAGGCTGTTCTCCAGACAATCCGGAACTGGGCCGAGGACGATACTTCGGATAAGCCAATATTCTGGCTTTACATAGCTGGCTCTGGCAAGTCCACGGTCGCAATGTCAGTAGCGACTGTGCCGCACGGAGAGAACTTTAGGAGGCCAGTTTCTTTTCAATGTCCAGTAACGATACGTCGACCACCGAAAAGTTCTGTTCGACTATGGCAAGAGATCTTGTCCATCACATTCCAGAACTCGCACCGCACGTCGCCGATACTGTGAAGCGAAATCCTTCGATCATGCGAAGCTCACTTGAAGAACAGTTCCGCACACTCATCACCGATCCACTCCGCCATCGACAGGAGCGTAGTTCTCATTGTCGACGCTATAGACGAGTGCAAATCGGACCTCAGCGAAGGGAGCTTTCGACACGCTCGCTAAAGCCGTTCAAGAAAGCAGGAACGTCAAGATCTTCATTACGAGTCGGCCAGACCCTGTCATCGAATCAGTTCTTCGGCCACTCTCGATCAAATCTAAACTGGAAGACCGTCTCCACGATATCAAACATCGTGACAACGTGGATGACATCGCGGCCTATGTCCACCAATCACTCTACACCGTTCTGCCCCAGGACAAGAGGCAACGGCTGATTGAGAAGTCGAGCGGATTGTTCATCTGGGCCAGTACTGCGTGTCGGATGCTCAATAACGAGGCCACGTTGGAAAGCCACGAGAGGATATATGATCGCTTAATCTCGGCGGACCAAACTGGAGATATAGATGATGTATACAAACTCATCCTCGAGCGCATACCCCCAGAACACAATGCCATGCTGTGCAATATGCTCGCACTGCTGCTTGCTGCATTCGAACCCCTACCGTATACGATCTGGACGACATTCTCAACACACCGGAATAGGCGGGAGTGCCAAGGCGTTGGTCCAAAGCCTTGGAAGCGTTCTTATCGAGGACAAAACAACAAAAACCATTCAATTTCGTCATCCTACTCTAGTCGAGTATTTGCGACGTGCTGTATCGCCCAATCCCGAAAACCCGAACAAAGTCACATCGACATCCACAATGCACATGGGCAGCTTTCGTCGTGGTGTTTCAATAATCTCGAATCACGAAAGGAAGGACTCAAGTTCAATATATGTGAGTTGAGTCGTCATTCTACCGAAACCGAGATTTCCTGGATCTGGAGGCGAGAATATCAAGGTCTATTCGAAGAAACCTTCGATATTCCAGTTTACATTGGCCATTTCATATATTGCCCAAGCAGATATCGAGGAGAAGCAAGCTCGGAAATAAAATCGAGCAGATTATTCGTGCGCCATATGCACTATATTGGATGGAGGTTCTGAGCTTCGTTGGGGGAGTTCTCGGCCATTGACGGCCTTCGGGCCATGATACACAATACAGTGAGTGCCTCATTTCAGTACATTCTTGCCCTTGATTTAACACGACATGAAGACGGAAGAGAGGCTAAGTGTCATGTATAACGGACTTAAGGCAGTTTATGATGGCATTTTCAGTACCTATTCAAGAAAGTGCACCGCATATCTACATTTCGGCGCTTCCATTCACGCCAACAAGATCTACTACATATTGAGGGCCTAACGATGCATGGAAACACCCTCAATGTGACCAACGGGCAGGAGGAGAGATGCCGGGACTTCCAGAAGCGCTTCGAGGACATACAAAGTCTGTGACGGCGATCGCATTCTCACCAGACGGCATGCGAATCCTCTCTGGCTCAGAGGATAATACAATTCGACTATGGGATGCGGAGACTGGTCAGTCATTGGGCGAGCCACTGCGAGGTCACACAGGCTCGGTCAATGCCGTCGCATTCTCACCAGACGGCTCCAAATTGCCTCTGGTCTAACGATGAGACAATTAGACTATGGAATGCGGAGACTGGCCAGTCGTTGGGAGAACCATTCCAGGCCACCAAGGCTCGGTCAACGCTGTAGCAATCTCACCAGACGGATGGCGTATTGTCTCCGGGTCGTCCGATAAGACTATTCGACTGTGGGATGCGGATACTGGGCAGCCATGGGGAGAGCCACTTCAGGGTCACACATATTTGATAAACACCTTGGCAGTCTCACCGGACGGCTGGAGAATCGCGTCTGGGTCAGGTGACAAGACCATCAGACTGTGGGATGCGAATACAGGACAGCCGTTGGGAGAGCCGCTCCATGGCCACGAAGATGCGGTCATTTCCATCGCATTCTCACCAGACAGCTCACAAATTGTCTCTGGATCGCATGATTCGGAAATTCGACTATGGAACGCGGAGACTGGCCAGCCGTTGGGAGAGCCACCCGAGGACACACACGCATGGTCAGCACCGTCGCATTCTCACGAGCAGGCTCGCAATAGTCTCTGGGTCGGATGATCACACGATTCGATTATGGGATATGGAGACAGGTCAGTCATTGGGAGAGCCACTACGAGGCCACACGCTTGGTCACCTCTGTTGCATTCTCACCAGACGGGTCGCGACTCGTCTCTGGGTCGAATGATCACACGATCCGACTATGGAACGCGGAAACTGGCAAATCGTTGGGACAGTCACTCCACGGCCACACAGACACTGTCACTACCGTTGCAATCTCGCCAGGAGGCTTGCAAATGGTCTCTGGGTCGGTGGATAAGACGATTCGACTATGGAATAGGAGACTGGAGAGTCAGTGGGAGAGCCGCCCGAGCAGGCAGTACTCACTCGGTCACAGCGGTCGCATTCTCACCAGACGGCTCGCAAATTGTCTCTAGCTGGAATCAACGCACGATTCAACTATGGAACGCGGAGACTCCAACCATCGGGAGACCCACTCCAAGGCCATACACATTGGGTCAACACTGCATTCTCACCAGACGGCTCGCAAATCGTCTCTGGGTCATCAGATAAGACGATCAGATTGTGGAGCGTATCCACTGGCCAGTTGTTGGGCGAACCACTCCAAGGTCACACACAGAGTGTCAATGCCGTCGCATTCTCACCAGACGGCTCCCAAATTGTCTCCCAAATGACGAAACGGTTCGGCTATGGAGGTGGAGAATGGCCAGTCTTTAGGAAGTCCCTCTCCGAGGCCATATGGGCAATGGCGGTTCTCGCGTCGCATTCTCACCGGACGGCCTGAGAATTGTCTCTGGGTCGGGTGATAACACGATTCGCCTATGGAATGCGGAGACTGGCCAGTCGTTGGGGAGCCACTACGAGGCCACACAGGCTTAGTCACCACTCGTCGCATTCTCACCAGACGGCTTGCAAATTGTCTCTAGTTCGTACGATAATACGATTCGACTCTGGGACCGCGGAAACAGGCCAGTCTTTAGAGAGCCACTACGAGGCCACAAACTCGGTCAATGCCGTCGCATTCTCTCCAGATGGCCTACAAATCATGTCAGGCTCAACCGACTGCACAGTTAGGCTGTGGGACGCAGCATTTGGTTCGTTTCACTTCATTTCCTTTTCACCGTGACGCCAAAAGCTCATAGATCCCTAGTTGAGGTATTCAGTCGGGATGGTTCCTGAGCCGCTCAAATCAGAGTGGCATCATCTTCGATCAAAATTCCATGGCTTCACTCAGAGCCATGCTCTGAGCTTCGAATATTTCCTCTCTCTGATGATGGTTGGGTGCATCTCTCCGGGAAACTTCTATTCTGGGTACCACCAACAATCGGCTCACACTAGCGGCCTGCTACTGCTAACCATGCCGACGCAGCCCTCCCTACCCAACCAAAATAGATTTCACTCGTTTCGAGGTGGCGCCTCTTGGACAAAAGTTCGGGGTGGCGTCAATCAATGAACTGTAGTGAGCGAGAACAGGATCATGATTTTACTCTCATGCTTGCGAGTCTCAGCTAGTAAGCCCCATCGTCTTGCGGTCCAAACATCCTGGGATGAATAGTTCCATACCATGACCATCGTGTTCAATCCGTACCTGTTCGTATTCTGGAACAGCTATATGTCGGAAACATATTCTCATGTTTGACTGTTTCCTTCGTCCTCCGTGTCATCTTCTTGGAGACCGACCGACTCGTGCGTGAGTCGTTTCGATACTGGGCCGACATTCCGATCCAGCTGCATTGTGTGATAGAGCGTGACAATTGCAGGTACTGGTCTTGATGCGGGCGCAACTGCAGGTTCTGTCAAGGCACTGCCCAGTGGGTCGGGTGGCGGTCAGAGGCTAGAGGCGGGTCGCTCTTTCTGACAAAATCCGGGCGAAACCCGGTCCAGTGAATATTATCTGAAATTCCTGTCAGAGATATATTAGGAAAGAGCGAGAAATGCCGACCTTTGTGTATGTGAACAAACATAGCGGCGAATAGACAATAGAATATGGATAAGACGCCTGTCAAATGACGAATATTGGCCATCGAAGTTGCATGAGTAGATATAATGTACGAACCTCCAGCCGGAAAGCCAACGAGAGCGTTTGCTCGTCCCTTCCAGCAGCGCAAGAGGATGATGCCCCAGAATACATAGCTAATCCAGGCGAATAGCGCTATGGCAACTGCTACGGTAAACTTGGCATCGTCAGGAGTGAGCAATCGCAGCGAGCCTCGACCGGGAATAGTGTACAAGGAGCGCCAGGCCGGGCTCAATGGTCGTCGTGGGCTCTTAGCATAATAACTCTATGGATACAACTGTAGTATATTTTGATATTCACGTATGCAAACACGCAGAAACGGGGTGAAACTAAGCAGTCGCCCACTGCCTCGACAGTAGATGATGCAGAATAAGCAGATGCAAATATTTTGTCCATTTTCTGTGATATGTCCCACCAGGAGACAGTCGGCCTCTGGGCCAAGGTTGATGGTCGATGCTGCCTGTTGTTGCCCAGCTCGCAGAACACGCGGGCGAGAGTGGCAGGCGCCGTCCTGGAGCCATCCACTTTGACAATGCCACCTCGAAAGTCGACCAAACCGAATCAGAGTCCTCTACTGCTGCAGGGAGATCTTCAAGAAAGAGGGATCAGTTACAAACAACGGCCAGTATCGCACTGGATATAGTCGCAAATGTAACAGGGGTGTCGGATATCCTCGCTCCTCTCACGGCAGCCTGCAAAACAACAAAGTCGATCATTGATGTCAAGCAAGTAGACGCGCCCGGAATAGCACTGGCTGATCAACTGACAGACTATCGACGATAATCAAGGAGACTGGAACGACCTAGTACGCCGCCTGGAGGAATATATGTGGGCTATTGAGAGCCAAATCGACTCTCTCGAAAAGTATCCTCCAGAAGATAGAGTCGTCGACGAAGCCTTTAGCCAGCCACTCATTCGTTATGTCGAGTAAGTCGGCACATCAACTCTGGCCCTGCCGACTGATTTCCTCAGACTTCTCGAGGATATTCATTGCGCGATCGTCAATAATGCGCATAAGAGACCTCGCACCAGGCGCAGTGCTGTTATGGCCATCGGGAATGTGAAGATTGACGCTGGACTCATTCGCAAGTTCAATCGAGATATCGAGGACCGGCATAGGCAGTTCATGGTGAGATTCTCAGGCCATATAATCGTAATCTCACATGCAAAATAGGAGGCGTTGGCTCTTTTCACAGGTCATCGTATCCAGGTCATCGAACAGCACACTAAATCGACAGCGGCCAAGGTTGAAACAATCGTCTCGGACAGTAAGCTAAGACTTGTCTATAGACGCCTCGCTAAACACCCCAAGTCGATGCATCTTTCATATGCCAACTCCAGGTCGTGGCATTCGTCCCGTCCTCAGTCCATAGCACCTGTTTACAAGGGACTCGTCTGGATGTTCTCGAGAAATCAAGACATGGGCCGAAGACGATACATCTGACAAACCAATATTCTGGCTCTGCGACGTAGCCGGTTCGGGCAAATCCACCGTCGCAATGTCGGCAGCGGAGACGTGGCGTGCGGAGGGAACCCTCGGAGGCCAGTTCTTCTTTTCAATCGCAAACAGCGAGACGTCGAATACCGAAAAGTTCTGCTCGACGAAAGCGGGTAGTTCTCATCGTCGACGCCGTGGATGAATGCAAATCCGGACCGCAACGAAGCGAACTTCTCGACACGTTCGTCAAAGCCGCTCGAGAAAGCAGGAATCTCAAGATCTTCATTACCAGTCGGCCAGACCCTGTAATTGAATCAGTTCTTCAGCCACTCAATTAAATCCAAGCTCGAAGATCGGCTCCACGATATCACTTACCGTGACAACATGGATGACATCGCCACCTATGTCCATGAATCACTCTACACCGTTCTGCCCGAGGACAAGCGGCAACAGCTCATTGAGAAGGCGCACGGATTATTCATCTGGGCGAGCACCGCATGTCGAATGATCAATAGCAAGACAGCATGGGACACCCCCGAGACTATATACGACTGGTTGACTTCGGTGGACCAAAGTGGAGATATAGACGATGTATACAAGCTCATTTTTGAGCGCGTAGACCCCAGATTCCACACGGTCATGTGCGGCATGCTGGCACTACTGCTTGCCGCATTCGAACCACTGACCGCCAACGACCTCGACAACATTCTTAAGCATATCGGACTACGCGGATACTCCGATGCGTTGATTCGGAACCTTGGAAGTGTCCTTATACAGGACAAAGCAACAAAAGTTATTCAATTTCGTCATCCGACTCTTGTTGAGTACCTGCAACGCTGCTATGACACTCCAGTCCCCGAAGAATCAAGCAGCATCTACATCAACATTCACGATGCACATGGTCAAATTGCGTCGTGGTGCTTCAGTAACCTTCAATCACGACAGGGAGGACTCAAGTTCAACGTATGTGAAATCGAGTCGTCGTTCTATCGAAACCGAGATCTACCGGATCTAGAGGAGAGTATCAAGTTTATTGGAAGAAACCTTGATATTCCAGTTACATTGGCCGTTTCATATGGCCCAGGCGGATAGTAATTGGAGAAGCAAGCTCAGAAATGAGCTTAGGCAGATGATTCGGATCCCATACATATTATACTGGATGGAGGTGCTGAGCTTCATCCAAGGGTTCCTCGAGCTATAGATGGCCTCGGGCTATGACTCGAGATACTGTGAGTGCCTTATCTCGACACATGCTCATTGATTGACACGAATAAAAGACTGAGAAAGAGACAAGAAGTCGCATAATGGATGTGAGACGATTTATGATGGCATTTTCAGTACCTATTCAAGAGTGCTCCACATATCTACGTCTCGGCGCTTCCATTCACTCCTATAGAATCATACCTGCATATGGAGGGCTTAGATATGTATAAGGGCACTCTCAAGGTGACAAAAGGGCTCGAACAGAGATACCGAGGACTTCCAGAAGCACTTCGTGGACATACAGAAGTGGTCGAGACAGTCGCATTTTCACCAGACGGCTCGCGAATCGTCTCTGGGTCGTGGGATCAGACAATTCGACTATGGGATGCGGAGACTGGCCAGTCGTTGGGAGAGCCACCCGAGGCCACACAGGCCCGGTCACCGCCGTCGCATTTCACCAGACGGCTCGCGAGTCGTCTCTGGTTCGGATGATCAGACGATTTGACTATGGGATGCAGAGACTGGCCAGTCGTCGGGAGAGCCACCTGAGGCCACACAGGCGCGGTCACCGCCTCGCATTCTCACCAGATGGTTCGCGAGTCGCTTTTGGATTACAAGACGATACGATTCCACTATGGGATACCGAGACTGGCCAGTCGTTGGGAGATCCACTTCGAGGCCACACAGGCGAGGTCAGCGCCGTCGCATTCTCACCAGACGGCTCGCGAATCGTCTCTGGCAGGGATGATAATACAATTCGGCTATGGCGGAGACTGGCCAGTCGTTGGGAGAGCCACTTCGAGGCCACACAGGCGAGGTCAGCGCCGTCGCATTCTCACCAGACGGCTCGCGAATCGTCTTCGGTCGGATGATCAGACGATTCGACTATGGAATGCAGAGACTCCAGTCGTTGGGAGAGCCACTTCGAGGCCACACAGGCGAGGTTTCAGGGCCGTCGCATTCTCACCAGACGGCTCGCGAATCGTCTCTGGGTCATGGGATAATACGATCGACTATGGAATGCGGAGACTGGCCAGTCGTCGGGAGAGCCACTTGAGGCACACAGGCGAGGTCAGCGCCGTCGCATTCTCACCAGACGGCTCGCGAATCGCGTCTGGCGGAAATGATGAAACGATTCGACTATGGGATGTAGATACTGGCCAGTTACTGGGAAAGCCATTTCAAGGACATACAGACTCCGTCACTGCCGTCGCCTTCTCACCAGACGGCTCGCGAATTGTTTCCGGCTCACATGATGACACGATTCGTCTATGGGATGTGGAGACTGGTCAAGCGCAGGGAGAGCCACTTCGAGGACACACAGCCTCCGTCCAAACCGTTATTTTCTCACCAGACGGCTCGCGAATCGTCTCGGGCTCGGGATCACACATTCGGCTATTGGATGCAGAGACTGGCCAGTCGTTGGGAGAGCCACTTCGAGGCCACACAGGCGAGGTCAGGGCCGTCGCATTCTCACCAGACGGCTCGCGAATCGTCTCGGGCTCGGCCGATAACAAGATTCTACTATGGAATGCGGAGACTGGCCAGTCGTCGGGAGAGCCACTCCGAGGCCACAGTGGTGTGGTCAACGCCGTCGCATTCTCGCAAGATAGCTTCCTAATTATGACCGGCTCTGCAGACTCCACAGTTAGACTGAGTGACACCGCGTTCAGTTCGTTCCACTTTACCCCTGTTTCACCGTCATGCTTTTAAGCTCACAAATTCTAGTTCAGCCATCTAGTCCGAATGGTCACCTGACAATCAACTGAGGGCAGCATCATCTCGCATCAAAACTTCATGGCCTTACTCAGAGTAATTCTCTCCCATATTCGAAGATTTCCTCTCTCTGATGATGGTTGGGTGCATCTCTCCGGTAAACTTCTGTTCTGGGTACCACCAGACAATCGGCTCTCATTAACGTCTCCATTACTGCTCACTATACCGACATCCAGCCCTCCTTACCCCACAAAAATTAGATTTCACACGGTTTGAATACGGCTCTTCTTGGACAAACGTTCGAGGCAACGTCAATCAATGAACTGTAGCGAGAGCGAGAACAGGATCATGATTTTACTTTCGTACTTGCGAGACTCAGCTAGTAAGCTCCATCGTCTTGCGGGTCCAAATGTTCGGGGATAAATTGTTCCACACAATGATCATCGTGTCCAAACTGTACCCGTTCATATTCTAGACCAGCTATATA